ACCTTTGGCATAAAGGACGGCAGCGGGACTCTGACCAGGATACGCAATACAGGTAAGGTGGATGGATGGCCGTGGGCAGAAAGATTTGGAATGACTGTGGAAACTGCCACCCTGTATGAACCAATGGCTCCAGGAAACATCTGAAATCAGTCACATATTACCAATACAGGTGTCCACAGGAGGGGTAACACCCGAAACAAATATGACAGCACACCCCTACCTTGCAAACATTTTAGAGATGTATTTCAAGCCATAAGTCGTCAATTTAAAGACATTTCTTGTAAGTGATACAATTATTTGCATGAAAAAAAGACTAGCATGCAGCAGTTGGGGTGGAAATGAATCAGAGTTGACTGTACATCACTCCAAAGCACGCAGGAAGTTACACATTTGCTATTATAAAAACAGGCAGATAGTGCTTTGATGCTGGAAATTTTTAGCTGAACACAAACATCTCTCGTAAAACATACAACCACCTGATTCCCACCCATGTCCATTAAACTGGAGTTATTAGTCTGCCATCTTTGAACCATTCTTTTCTGGCTGAAAGAAACTGCTAAGTAATAGAAAGAATATAAAGAGCCACTTAGCCGCTTAGAGCTAAATAGTGAGCAAGGTTGGTATTAAACTTCAGTTCCCCCCGACTTGCAAAAGAACTTTCTCTAGTGTCTAGTTAAGTAACAAAGTAGACAACTGGAAAAAATAACAGCAGGAGAACGGTTCAGTTTGTGTTTCTGACGATGACCTGTGGCTACTGTCATACTATGGAGTCAAGGAGCCCACTAGGAAAATGTGCAATTAAGCCGAGCTTCCAGTCAATGCCGAGGTACGAGTCTAAGAAGTATTGAAGCAATATCAGAACAAACACAACAAATAACCAGCCAGAAGTCCCAAAACATTTTAAATGGTATAATTCAAACAGAGAAAAACAATATTTTGTGATATACACTAGTAGTCTACATTGCCAAAAGTATTGGGACACCCCTCCAAATCATTGAATTCAGGTGTTCCAATCACTTCCATAGCCACAGGTATATAAAAATTAAGCACCTAGGCATGCAGACTGCTTCTACAAACACATGCGAAAGAATGGGTCACTCTCAGGAGCTCAGTGGATTAAGGCGCGGTACCATGATAGGATGCCACCTGTGCAATAAGTTCATTCATGAAATTTCCTTGCTACTAAATATTGCATGGCAAACTATTAGTGGTATTATAAGAAAGTGTAAGCAATTGGGAACAATAGCAACTCAGCCACGAAGTGGGAGGCCATGTAAAATCACAGAGCGGGGACAACGCATGCTGAGGCGCACAGTGTGCAGAAGTTACCAACTGTCTGCAGAGTCAATAGCTACAGACCTCCAAACTTCATGTGGCCTTCAGATTAGCTCAAGAACAGTGAATAGAGAACTTCATGGAATGGGTTTCCATGGCCGAGCAGCTGCATCCAAGCCTTACATCACCAAGTGCAATGCAAAGTGTCGCATGCAGTGGTGTAAGCACACTGCCACTGGACTTTACAGCAGTGGAGACGTGTTCTCTGCAGCGACGAATCAGGCTTCTCTGTCTGGCAATCCTATGGACAAGTCTGAGTTTAGCAGTTGCCAGGGGAACGGTACCTGTTTGATTGTATTGTGCCAAATGTAAAGTATGGTAGAGGGGGGATTATGGTGTGGGGTTGTCTTGCAGGGGTTTGGCTTGGCCCCTTTGAATGCCATTTCCATTGGAACTAAGCCATTTTGGACAATACATGCTCCCAGCTTTGTGGGAGCAGTTGGGGGAAGGCCCCTTCCAGTTCCAACATGACTGCACACCAGTGAACAAAGCAAGGTCCATAAGGACATGCATGAGCAAGTCGGGTGTGGAGGAACTTGACGGGCCTGTACAGAACCCTGACCTGAACCCGACAGAACACCTTTGGGATGAATTAGAGCAGAAACTTCGAGCCAGGCCTTCTCGTCCAACATCAGTGCCTGACCTCACAAATGCTCTCCTGGAAGAAAAAAATTCCCATAAACACACTCCTACACCTTGTGTACAGCCGTCCCAGAAGAGCTGAAGCTGTTATAGCTGCAAAGGGTGGGCCAACTCCATATTAAAGCCTATGTATTAAGAATGGGATGTCATTAAAGTTCATGTGTGTGTAAAGGAAGGTGTCCTGTTACATTATTTTTCCATAAGTATCTATGCACTCGGTATAAGAAATAATATAAATGTTAAGGAATCTGATAACCAAGAATACAGTTCAAACATTAACTCACACCCTTATTATCACCCTAAGTTCCATGTCATATTGCTGTAGGGTTAACCAATATCAGCCGGGTTTTTGCAGCAAGAAAACTGCGGCCCTAATAAAGTTGAATACCAACACAAATTTCTTGTTTATTAAAATAATCACAGAGCTGTGCTGACCCTCACACAGCGACAGCCCAATTATAAGAATGAATGGCACCACGCTCAAATTATTTAAGTCTCGTTCTGTGGAAAGATCATAGCTGTAGAATGCCTGAAATACAGCTGTAGAGCTACAAGAAAACTGTAGCATGTATATTCCAGAGTTTGTGCACATCTGTAAACACTTTACACAGATTTCAGGTTTAATCAGTCTGATCTTTTGGGTGGATTTTGGCATTGGCTCCATTTTATGATCAAATCCATACAAGCCCACCTTCAAACATAAGGCCCCAGATAATCAGAAGAGAGTCGAGGCTCCACAGATGGCAACCTACCAAGGCCGTAGCTTCAGTTATACAATGGCTAAGCTTCAAGCTACATTACTGACCACTCAAAGACTGCCAGCCAAAAAAGGAATGACAATGTCGCAAGATTCTTGTGAAGAACAGGGTTCCAAGTCTGAACAAAAAGTGGATAACTGTTACCACTCTCACATCCTGTTTCTCTCTCACACTCCCACACAAATGCTCTGATAGAAAAAAAAGGATCATTACATTCACAAAGTTAACATGACTGATTAGTTTTTGCTCTTCAAATGGTCTGTTTGAATTTAAGTCTCATTTAACAACTGGTAATTGTTGCAATAAAACTGATCATGCTGACTGATAAATACGGGTCTTCAATCCATTAAGTCTGCCACAGTGATTCAACTGCACAGCAGATAATGTCTTTCAATTAGAACAGAGGATTCCCACAATAAAAGTGGCGTTGCAGAATCGCTTCAACAAGTACATCAAGGCATGGTGTGGGCTGTTTATAAAGCAAATTCAAACTGAATCCATGTGAAAAATAAGATGACATTACATTTGCTAGCAACAAGTAATACTTTGCTTATTCCTCTTTATGATATAAAACCGCAATTTCCCCACCATCAATCATAAACCCCGTATCCCTTTATCAGCAGTATCAAACCCAGCCATCCAATCAGAGACATGCAAGTCTGTTCTGTTGCATGAAAGGGGGACTTACACAATGCCTGACTTTAATGACAGAGGGGGGAATCTCTTTTTCTGGTCGCATTGGTTACATAGCAGGAAAAAACAGAGCTAAATGACCTAAATATTACACTGAGGAAGTGATAATGCTGCATTTAATAAGGCTCATCAGAGATTAATGGGCACATGGCCACAAAGGCGGGGGGGGGTTAACCTTAATGGGCCTCCAGTATCAGCAGGCATCCAACAGCAAATGCTTAAACTCAGAGACTGTACCAAAGACGGTGCAAAACGTGCCTTACAGGTCTGAAGCGGCCCATAGAGGAGAAGGGGAACAAGCCACAGGTGCAATCAGACAGAGCACAAACACTTTCAGATCGGAAACACCAGCCGCCAGCCGTGAAACACGCTAAAACAGAAAGTCAGGACAGGTGGCCACGCCTAAGTCAGAAGAAGGATATCCTTTCTACCAGTATACATGTACAAGTGTAAGAACACTACAGGTTCTGTAGGACGATGCCAGCCCCCCACCAACACTGTCTGACTCACATTTTCAGGGGATCATTATGTTTAATCATTCAAAGGGCGTCCAAAGAAAAATGCTGACTATAAATGAACTGCATAATGTCCAAAGTAGGTACAGATACAATAGAATATACACATAAAAGAAAATCTAACAAATACCATTTAGAGATTCATTCCCAATTCACAGCAATGTGTCAAGAAATTTTGAGTCATCTAAGCAAAACTCTCCTGTTGAAATTAAGAAGCCTACATTTATTTAAATCACTCTCAATGATTTGAGAGAAATGCGTGAGGGCAAAATAAATTTTTAAAAAATTAAAAATTCAAAAAAGAAACTGAGGGCAAAGTTTCCATTCATGGAGCCAGGCCCTAAGTAAAGGGACACCATTCCCTCCCCCTCTAGGTCACTGTTTCTCAAGCCGGTCCACAGGGCCCCAAAGACAGCTGGGAGAGGCCATAGATGTGGACTGTCTGGCAAGTAACTGGGAAGTAGCTCAGTTTCAGTTGTTATCACATAGAAGTCCTGCTTTTAAAGCAGCACGATTTGCTGACGGATAAGAAACCTACATGCGTTAAACCAAAACGAGAGAAGTGAATCATCACTCAAAATCAGTTATATTTTTCCCCCAATTACTTCTAACGTCCCATCTGAATAACATTTCAAACACTGAGCTCTTATGACAAAATGAACACTTTAAAATCATTAAATCCTTTATGTAGCTAACAAGTTTAAATCCTAGTCTTCTAAAGCAAAAACTAAAAAAAGTTGTATAATTAAATAAATGAGGGGACTTATCAAGGTGTTTCACCAGATTATCCACATTAAGCAGTTGCAACCAGGAGGATTTTATCATTCTATTATGGTCTATACATCTACAGACTTTGTTCATAGTTTCAGAATTAATACAGCAACCATATTATAATCTTCCCATGGTAAAACAGAAGAAAAATGCCATCTCTGAATAATCACGAAACTCCATTAACGTTTCTGAACTACCTTGCACAATTTTGTGAACAATCTATTTTCTTACATTTACAAAGCTGAACAGCATGTTCAGTGCTGAGTGAGGATTTTCAACTACTCACCTTTGTGGAAACCTCATGGGACAGAGGGTACAAACAGGTGCAGAAATATTCCTGAGCGACATACACAGGCTGGCCTTCTGTGGTCAGGAGCGATGAGAAATCAGAGGCATTCCCCAGCATGCACATGCGGGTGTAGTGACGCCTCCGGCTATCTCCTACGGAGGGAGCTCCGCGTGGTCTGCCTCACATACTTAATGACCTGTCACCCAAGTCCAACTAATGCCCTCTTTGCAGCAGCGGCCTGTTTCTGAAAGTCGCAGGCTGTCATTGTTGTGCGATGAGAGGAATCCCCAGCCTGACAAATTGCCTCTGACGACAAAATGCTGAGCCCAAAGCTACAGATTTTACACGTGAAGACAGGAGAGAAGCAGCGGATTGTGCTTTTACGTGTGACAGTCAGGGAACCATATTTCCAGCCTATAACTAACAAAGCCGGCACGGTACTCGGACAGTCCCTAGGAGGCATCAGACAAAGCATTATTGCTCGTTATTGCTCTTCCTGGGCCACTGTCGGCTGAACAGACTCGGGCCTGTTTGAGCTGCCAAAAGGAAATTGGTTTCTCATCACAGGTCATTGGACAGCATTGACACCGCACTGAGAGAGATATATTAACAAAAGGAGGGCAGCAGAGAAAACGCGTCTTGGACTAAATTGTTTCCACAGCAAAACAGTTCAATGCAAGCAGGGGCAAACCTTACGGACTCCCGGACACCTTTTAACTGACCCCAGAGCGAACAAGCAGAATAAAGGAACTGCAACACACAAACGCAGCAAGAACATTCACATCAGCCCAACAGCTGCGCAAAAGGTGTAACTCTAGTGCGACAGGTTAAAGGAAATCGTGTTGAAACATGCTGCCCACATGGAATAATGTCATTTTGCCATGATTTACCAGTTAGCCGTTAGCCTCCCTCATTACTTAACGGTATCACAATACTTATGTTATTGAACACGAAACTAATATTTCGCAGGATGAAGAAAATTGTATACAGGTCAAAAGAGAAACAAATAGTCATGTGACCCTAACAATCAGAACCAGAATACTTTTATTATCCCAGAGGATAATAAATAGTGCTTAAAGATTGCATAGTACATCGATGCACAAAAGATACACACACGCATGCCACGTACAGCACTTCTAAAGTCATTTTTAGGTCTGTTGTCATTTCTATATAGATCTCTGTGATGGTTAGTTTTCAGAAGCTGCCCAAACTCATAGGTTTCGACGCCACATGAGTGTGGCCAAATTCATCAACACTGTATACAATTTCAAACCACATTCTCAGCTAAAGTGTGCTATGCAGAGGTGAGGGAAAGGTGTCTGGGACTCTGAAGACCAATTAAAAATAAAATTGCTTTTATGCTGTTCCATTTTACTGTACTTTTATAAAATACGTAACTGCGAAAACAAGTACAATAACTAAGAAAGGTAACACAATAAAAAATAAGCTAAAACTGCGCAGCACAAGCATTATTCTCGGGCTACAAGCCCAAAACTACCGTCCCTTAAATGATCATTACTCTGTGGTGCAACCTGGACACACAGATATTTTTAGCCATGTCTGCAGAAGCAGTCAGTGGACTCCAGAGAGTGAGTCAACTGGCAGGGGACGGGGGTGAGGACCAATTATGGGTGTCTCCCACAAAGCATCTTAATGTTTACCCATTTTCATTTTGCAAGGACTCTGATGCAGCTAAACAGTATCAAGCGCTGTTTTCAAGACCCTTTCATTTCCAACTTAAAATGAGATCAACAAAATAAGACACTAGTGATTTTTAAATATTCTGTTTGGTTCCAGTATACATCCACACATTTTGTTAAGTGCTTTTTCTTTCTTCCAATCTACAGTATAAAGAGGCAGAGACCCCAGGGTCACTAATAACTCACCCATGATCAACTAGATGATGCCTGCAATCAGATTTGCAGATGACTATAGAACGGGTGAGGAATTGCGGATTATGCAGCAGTGTATACATGTGTTTTTTTTTTTTTTTTTTAAATGAGTGTTAAATTTACGGCATTCATAAACATTACTGTCACTTAGATACCACCACAGCTAATGGACTGCATTTGAGTGTTAGCAAGACAACAGGGACAACCAAAAATATATATATGTATAGTTTTTATGTAAACAACAACAAAAAAAGTAAAAACCACCCTGTCGTATTTTTGCTGAGCTAACAGCAATGGAGATTTTATAGATTTTAAAGATATGGTCAGTAGGAGTAGGAACAGAAAGCTCTGCCTTTCACAGTTCATACCTCCCCTACCCCCAAAAAAATATTTCCATAATTCTCTACTACCAAGCTTTTTTTTTTAGCAATATATCCAGGAAACAAGAAGCCTGAAAATGTCATAAGACATGCTGACTGAGGCCCAGCCTAGGTACCCTCACACAAACACCACAATCCAGACAACCTGTGGTCATCACATTTCATAGTAGGGTATAAATCTAACTACCTACATGGCTCACCAAGACAATCTGGGTTCCACAGGTGCACAATGCCCATCAACATATCAGCACTGGCTGATATGAATTCATTAAAAATCAAGACAAAATTGGTCTGATGCGTCAGTCTTGGCCGATATTCAAAATTTATCAGTATTAAACATTAGCAGCACCAGACCTAAAGACATTACCACCAAAATAATCGAGTTGATTGCATTAGACTATTAGCCATTTTCTGCAGTGGAGGATGAGGGATTTCATCAGCTCATTGACCACTAGAAGTAGGGTACCACTTTCAATCTGCAGAAGGACACTGATGCCACTCTACTGTGAGGGGAGTGATTACACAGTCTGAAAATACAGGACAAATCACATTCTGTATTGGTTCAAAATGAGATATAGTGATTCATTTTATAATATGGAACTATCCCATAAAATACAGGATGGGTGACAATAGGATGGGTGAGAAAATCTCTCAGAATACAAGCCCACAAGATGTTTTTATACAGATTACCATCTGTTTATAATTCTATATTAAATCTGACAAGCAGATCAACCTCTTATTTTCAACAAAATATTAAAAAATGCTGTAACGTTATTCCACTAACCAGTGTGGGCCAGTTTCAGTGCCATTGCTGGGACACCAATGGTCTTCCCAAAGGCAGTTCAACTTCAACCTATATGACCATGCAAATCTACTCTAATCCAAGGTGCACCTGAAAATTTGTAAAGCATTTGTTTTTATTTTAAGCTGATAAGCTAAGCAGTTTTTTTTTTCTCTCCATGGACACACGACACACCTCCATGAGTGAAAGGGACATTTTGTTTAGTACGTTTAGTTTATCTGGCAGCTAAGCCTTGGGGATCCCCTCTGGTTTGTGTTTAAACTGAACAGTGGTGATTAGCATTAAAAAAGATAAAAACGTCTGGGGTTATTAACAACTTACCCACGCTCAACCCATGCAGGCAGTTTTGCACATGACTATAGAACTGCAAAGGGACTGACTGTTACATAGCCAGCACACAACCACTTTTGAAGGAAAGTTTTGCATAGGTACGTGTCATCCAACTGGATCAGAGCTACAGCTACTGTGCTGCCAGTGTACTTTGCCTCCCACACAACCCACAAGCCAGCTCAGAAGAAACCAAGTCTTCCTTCAACATTATGTTGCTTTTAGAGACTGTTTACGTTTTGTACAATATTAACAGTTCAAGTCTTCAGAACAATAAACCCCCTATGGGTAAAGACGGCATTTGTGCGTTTCCTTTGAGAGACCGGAGAACCAGCCCCCAGCAGTACCTATTTTCTTTTGGAGATTCCCAGACATCCCCAGTACACCTGCCCACAGAAGACAGCTACCAACTGGAGGCTGGAAGACAGCCAGAATGCCACAGTGCTGCTGACCTGGAGAGTCACTGGCTACAAACCAGGGTGATCCAAGTGATTGAAGATTACTAGATGAGATTAAATTTCCCATATTGCTCTAGACATGCATAAAATACAATGCCCAGTAAACTCTTGCACTCAGTTCACTGAGAACAGAAATGGTATAGAATTTATCATAGTCTATGGTAAAATCACATACAATGTTACAAACAGTAATTCACGGTTACCCACATGTATGGTTATAGGCTTCATACAGCGGGATTCAAATAATTTAATAAACAGACCTGTTCACATGCATAACAGCTAAGGTTTAACACAACTGCCTTCAAAACTAAAAGATCATCTAATAATGAACATTTCAAATTGGGAAAAGTTAGCTAACAAAAACTTATACACATACAAGATTTAAAAAAAAAATCCCAATTAATCTTTCATCACCATAACACGATCTCTTGCATGCATGTAAGAATGTAATCCTTAGATAGCAGAACTTCTCCATTTGTAAAGTTTATGCTTATCAAAGCAGCTCTCTGGACGCTCTCCAAGTTGACTGATGCTGTTGGCAATGACGAAGTTACAGTGTGACTTTATTCAACGCCTCCCAGAGATTGGACAATTTCAATGAATGGGCACACAATAACCCACAATAAAACCTAACAGAAAATAGAACATGCGTACAAGGGACCAGGCACTGTGGTAAACAATTATCATAATTGTGATTCAAAATCCAAGCAAAGAATGAGTCAAGTTATAGGTTACGCTGATCAAATACCACAAAGAAAGGAAGTTATTCATCTTTAAAGTCAACTCAGCCCGAGTGAAGGATTTTCAAGCAAATATATGCATACTTGGATAAAACGAAGAGCGGATAGTTCTTACGTCAAGATGCTATGTATGCATTCAACGAAAAAGCAAATAGTCAAGTCAAAATTGCGAAAGGAGATCTTATCGCCCATGACTTCCCCCACTGCACAACACTAGCAAAACATATCAAACGAACCCCGACACTTATGCAATTAAAAGAAAAACATTTAATGTTAACGGCAAATATGAAGAACAGCGAATAATAGTAGCAAAAGTAATGGCACAAGTAAAATAGGCTTCTAGAAAAACCGATAAAACTGTTCAAAATATATATTTAAAATGTAAAACTACGCGGTGACATTTTAGTTAACATACTACTGTTGTTAGGGGGACTCAAAGCTGGTGAGTTATCGATATTACAACAAAAAGGGGGGCAGACATTGAGGCGTTTCCTGCGTGTTTCACATACTTTGGAACAAAAGTTCGCGTTTACATTTCATAATTAAACAGCGAATTAAACAGAGTCACGTTTAACTCCCTGTCATGCGTGGTGCACATGTGCCTTCAGAAACAGGCCGGAGTGACTGCGCTGCCACACACTACACCTACAAACCCAACTGCACAGCTATGCGAATGAATGGGCGACATAAATACAGCTAGCTGTGGATTTTTTTTTCTTTCCACATTTAAGCACATAACTGCATCACTGTTAAGCACAATATTTGTTAAGCGCAGGCGGCAGATTACTGCACGGTGAAGCTAGCTAGCTAAATAAATAAACACAGCTCGCTAACGACACCTACAACAGCGTAAAATGTTCCGGTCTTCATACTGGAGGC